TTTTTATTGTAGCCTCTTACTCAGGCAATGAATATATATATATATATATATATATATATATATATATACACATATGTATATATATAACCCTTAAAAAATGTGTGCATGTAGATAAATATATATATATATATGTATATAAATAAATATATATATGCATAATGTATAATTTATTTGCATATACACTTTGACTTTGTTTGTTGTAGGGGCCTCCAGGGACGGGGAAGACGCTGACAGCTGCTGCACTTCTTTATCATCTTTCTTCCTCTTTACCTGCCAGTCGAAAGCCCATCCTTGTTGCTGCTCCTAGCAATGTAGCTGTCGATAACCTTGCGCAAAGAATACACCTCACTGGTCTTAAGGCAAGCAGCAGCAGCAGCAGCAGCAGCAATAGCAGCAGCAGCAGCAGCAGCAGCAATAGCAGCAGCAGCAGCGATGTGCAGGAACAGCTACGTAATTGCATCTCTGGATAATCATTGCGTACATCTTAATAAAGCATATGATATCCCCTTTCTGCCGCTGCTGCTTCTATTGCTGCTGCTGCTATTGCTGCTGCTGCTATTGCTGCTGTTTAGGTGGTGAGAGTTTACTCTCGACAGCGAGAACAAGCAGCAGAAGAAGGAGTGCCGCTGCCTTATGCGCAGCTGGCGCTGCACATCCTCGCTCGCAATATGCCGACCCCTGCAGGAGAACAAATAAAAAATTTAGAGCGAAAGAAAGCAAAGGTAAAGAAATTAAATTAAATTAATTAATTAATTATAGTAATGCTTTAGATATACTTTAGTTATGTAGGCTTGTTTTGTTTGGATGTGTTTATTTAATCAATGTATGCTCATTTAATAAAATATATGTTTATTTAATAAAGTCTTGTTCTATAGGCGTCTTTCTCTAGGCAATATAATAATAAGAAATAAATAATAATAAAGAATAACAGTAATAAATAATATAATAGTAATAGTAATAGTAATAATAATAATAATAAATAAATAATATATAATAATAATAGATCATTTGGGGTGTACATGCAGGAGGGGTTTTTGAGTGATGCTGAGGAGCGCCTTCTCCGCACTCTGACTCTGCAATGCCAAATGCAAATTCTCATGGAGAGCGATGTCGTCTGCTGCACTTGCATTGGTGCTGGTCAGTTACTTGCTGCTGCTGCTGCTGCTGCTGCTGATGCTGTTGGTGCTGCTGTTGGTGCTGCTGCTGATGCTGTTGGTGCTGCTGCTGATGCTGTTGGTGCTGCTGCTGATGCTGTTGGTGCTGCTGCTGATGGTGATGGTGCTGCTGCTGATGGTGATGGTGCTGCTGCTGTTGGTGCGGCTGCTGCTGATTATGCTTTTGTTGCTGATGAGTTATATGCTGATGGTGATGCTGCTGCTGTTGGTGGTGCTGGTGCTGCCTGCTGCTGCTGGAGCTGCTGTTGCTGCTGCTACTGCTGCTAAGCAGCAGCGGCAGCCGCGGCAGCAGCTTTTTGATATAACCTATCATTTTATATATTTTATCTCTTCTATTAATTTTATTTATATTGTTTTTCTTATGTGTTATATATATATTTTGTCGCTCAGTCTTGGGGTTTGTGTAAAGCCTTCCAAACCCTAAACCCTAAACCCTTAATTCTTTTCTTCTGGCCGGTTGTTTGTACTGTTCCTGAGCTATTATCTTCTGCCTTTGCTGCTGCGCTTATTCTTCTTTCTACTTCTGTTTTTGCTGCTGCTGCTGCTGCTGCTTCTTTTGCTGCTGTTGCTGCTGTTTTTGGTGCTGCTGCGATGGCTTTTGCTGCTATTGCTGCCGTTTTTCTTGCTGCTGCTGTTGCTGCTGCTGCTGTTGCTGCTGCTGCTGCTACTGCTGCTGCTGATTGTTAAATCACAGGAGAGAAGAGGATCTCTCAGTTTTCTTTCTCTACTGTCCTCATCGACGAGTGCACACAGGCGACAGAGCCAGAGACCCTTATCCCTCTTACACTCGGTGCTTCTCATGTATGTTTATTTATTTTATTTTATTATTTATTTTATTTTATTTTATTTATTTTATTTGTTTTGTTTGGTTTATTTTGTTTGCCCCCCCATCCCTGCTGCTGCTGCAGCTTCCACCGCTGCGCTGCTGCTGTATATTTATGCCTGCTTTTGCTGCTGCTGCTGTTGCTGCTACATCCTTGCATGCCTTCTACTGTCCCTGAATCTTTTATTTCGCTTCTACTGCTGCTGTTGCTGCTGCTGCGTTTGCTGCTGCTGCGTTTGCTGCTGCTGCTGTTGCTGCTGCTGCGTTTGCTGCTGCTGCGTTTGCTGCTGTTGCTACTGCTGCTGCTGTTGCTGCTGCTGCTGCTGCTGCTTTAGGTGATTTTGATAGGGGATCAGATGCAGCTGGGCCCTGTGGTTTTATCTCAAAGGGCATCGGATGCAGGACTCTGTATTCCTCTCTTCGTTCGTTTGCTGCTCCTCAATGCCCCCGTATTCAGACTCTCCGTACAGTATAGGTCAGTATACACCTCCTGCTGCTGCTGCTGCTGCTGTTGCTGCTGCTGTTGCTGCTTGTGATGCTGTTGCTGCTGCTGCTGCTGTTGCTGCTTGTGATGCTGTTGCTGCTGCTGCTGCTGTTGCTGCTTGTGGTGCTTCTGCTGCTCGTGGTGCTGCTGCTGCTCGTGGTGCTGCTGTTGGTGATGATGCTGTTGATGCTGCTGTTGCTGCTGCTCTTGCTGTCGCTGACGCTGCTGTTGCTGCTGCTGTTGCGACTGCTGCATATGCATTTACTCCTGTTGTTGCTGCTTTTGCTGCTGGTGTCCATGGCTTTGCTTCTGCTGCTTCTGCTGCTGCTGCTGCTGCTGCTGCTGCATCTTCTGTTGCATGTGTTGTTTTGCCTTTGCTTATATCCGTATAAATATATATATATATATATATGTTGATAGATAGTCTTATAGATATAAATATATATATATATATATATATAAATATAAATAATAAGGATATAGTAGAAACATATATAAATATACACTCACTTCTACTCGAGTATATTTGTTTTTTTTGTATTTGTACGTTTTGATATTCGCTGTAGATTTGTGCAGATGTTTATTTATTTATATATTTTGTTTGTTCCTGTTTTCTTCTATTCTTTACATATATATATATATCTATATATATATATATATATGTATATATCTATATATGTATATATATCTATATCTATATTTATATATTCATAATAAATAAATAAATAAAAAACAAAAGATCAAGCAAACAACAACTTAATGTAATTTGATTAAATTAAATATAATAAACTAGGTATAATTAATATAATTAAATAAAATAGTTTTAAATATAATTATATATTTGGTTTGTTCAGGATGCACCCGGGTTTATCAGAGTTTCCTTCTCAAACATTTTATGATGGATGTCTGCAAAACGGTGTATCTGCACTCGAGAGACAGTTTGTTTATTCGCATCGTTCTTCTTTATTTTTTAATTCTTCATCATTTCCTTCATTCTTCTATCATATCTCGAGTCAGAACAAACTCTACTTATCAAACACACACTAACCCTAAACCCTAAACCCTAAACCCTTATCCTCATGTCTAGCCACCAACCACCCAATAATATGTACATTAAATGCTAACACACACGGGATTAGGGTTTAGGGTTTAGGGTTTAGGGTTTAGACCCAAAGGGCAACAAACGCTGTACAGTTCAGGGCTTTCACCGGGGTTTAGGGTTTAGGTTTTAGGGTTTAGGGTTTAGGGTTTAGACACGAAAGGTTGCAGACTCTGTTCAATCCAGGGCTTTCACCTGGTATTCGGGTTTAGAGTGTAGGGTTTAGGGTTTAGGGTTTAGGGTTTGGGGTGTACGTGCAGCTAAAGAGGAGCTGAGCAGCACTGGAACATCGTATTTAAATCGAGGCGAAGCGGCAATCGTCGAGCGCCTCATTTTGACTCTCATCAGAAATGGAGCATCGTAGGAATCCTGCTGCTGCTGCTGCTGCTGCTGCTGCTGCTACTGCTTGTGCTGCTGCTGCTGCTGCTGCTTGTGCTGCTGGTGCTGCTCCTGCTGGTGCTGCTGCTGCTTGTGCTGCTGGTGCTGGTGCTTGTGCTGCTGCTGCGTGTGCTGCTGCTGCTGCTGCTGCACTAGCTGTGGTGCTGCTGCTTTTGCTGCTGTTCGTGCTACTATTGCTGCTTCTGCAGCTAGTTTTGCGGTTGTGTTGCGGTCGCTGCTTTTGTTTCTGCTGCCGTATGCCGCTGCTCTTGTTATCTTTGCTGCTGCTGGTGCTTTTAGTATGTCTGCAGCAGCAGCAGCAGCTGCAGATGGTTTAGTGTGTTGGTGGTGTAGTGCCTCCTTGCACTGTTGCTGCTTGTGCTGCTGCTGCTGCTGCTGCAGTGTCTGCCTCCAGCTATTTCTCTGTTTTTTATTTGTCTTCTTGTTTTACAGCTCCACCTGCTAATCCTTCTGCTCCTCTCATTCTACTACTGCTGCTGTTGCTGTTGCTGCTGCTGCTGCTGCTGCTGCTGCTGCTGCTGCTGCAGGCCTGAGCAGATAGGAGTGATAACGCCGTACATTGGGCAGCGCAATTTCCTCCGAACTCTGCTGCAGCGGGGCCCAACAGCAGCAGAAGTAGAGATCAGCTCTATTGATGCATTTCAGGGTCGCGAGAAGGACATTATTATCTTCTCTTGTGTGCGCAGCAACACAAACAGGTGTAAGTACAAATACCTAAGAGGATGCTGCAGCAGCAGCAGCAGCAGCAGCAGCAGCAGCAGCCGACGACAGCTGCTCTTCCTGCTGCTGCTGCAAAGCAAAGCTGTTATCTCATGAGCCCTACTGCTGCTACTGCTGCTGCTGCTGGTTTGCTGCTGCCAATGCCGAGCCTACTGTTGCTGCTGTTGCTGCTTCCCTTGCTGTTACTGCTATTCCCTTTGCTGTCGTTGCTGCTGCTGCTTCCTTTTGCTGTCGTTGCTGCTGCTGCTTCCTTTTGCTGTTCCTGCTGCTGCTGCTTCCTTTTGCTGTTCCTGCTGCTGCTGCTTCCTTTTGCTGTTCCTGCTACTGCTGCTTCCTTTGCTGCTACAGCTGCTACTGCTTCCTTTGCTGCTACTGCTGCTACTGCTGCTGCTGCTGCTACTGCTGCTGCTGCTGGTGTTGTGCTGCAGCAATAGGGTTTCTGGCTGATGCTCGTCGTTTGAATGTTGCACTGACTCGCTCTCGTCTTTGTTTGTTTATTTGCGGCAACGCGGATTTGCTGTTTCAGCAGCGCCCAAAGAGCAGCTTAAAGAGTGCTACTGCTGCAGCAGATGCAGACGCAGCAGCAGCAGCAGCAACAGCAGCAGCAGCAACAGGGGATGATGAAGAAGCAGAAACAGAGCCGCCTACCTGGTCTTTGCTGCGAGCAGCTAAAGCAGAATTCTTAGAGCAGCTTCCTGTATGGAGGCTGCTGCTGCAGCACTATGACAGCCACAGCAGCATCGTGACAGGGCCTTTAGGGGCGCTGAGGCAGGTGCAGCTGCAGCAGCAGCAGCAGCAGCAGCAGCAACTTATGATGATACCTAAACAGCAACAGCTGCGCCATGGGAAACCAAAGGGTCTTGGTGCAGACGCAAAAGAAACAAACAGCAGCAGCAGCAGCAGCAGCAGCAGCAGCGAGAATAATAATATAAAGACAGCCGCCACTGAGCCGTCGTTTGCTGCAGACCTCAAGGTAAACAACATCACGAAACCCACAACAATATATGTATATATATATATATATATATATATTCATATATATAATTATATATATATATACATATGTATATATATACATAAATATAATCATAAATATATATATATATATATGTACATATTTGTACGCAGATCTATGCAAATATGTATGTATATATTTGTATATTGCCCTTAATCTGTGCTGCTGCTGCTGCTGTGTTGCTGCTGCTGTGCTGCTGCTGCTGCTGTGTTGCAGAGGGAAGACGATTGGGAGTTTACTGGCAGTAAATTCGATCTGTGAGAACTGAAGCAGCAGCAGAGTGCTGCTGCCCTCTGTTTTTTTAATGCTTCTTGTGCTTTTTTTGCTGCAGCAGCAGTGCATCTGCTGCTGCTGCAGTGATGCCGCTGCAGTGGTGCTGCTGCAGCAATGCAGCTGCTGCTGAAGTTCTGCTGCTGCTGCACTTCTGCTGCTGTTGCGGCATTGGCAGTGAATTTCCTCAGACAGAGCCGCAGCTGCAGGAAGCGCAGCGGCAGCAACAGCAGCAGCTGCTGTTGTGGCTGCCCTCCCGCTATGCGCGTAGGGCAGCAGCAGCAGCAGCAGCACGAGGTGCAGCAGCAGCCCTGCAAGGTTTTTAAGAACATTACTGGCAGCAGCAGCGCCATACGCTCTTGCTACCAGTATCAGCGCTTTAAGTTGCAGCATCAGCAACACCAGCAGGAGCAGCAGCAGCTGGTGCTGCTGCTGCTCCTGCTGCACTCTGTTAACAGAGTGAAGCAATAGCAGCAAACTGAAACCTCAACAGCGTTGAGGGAACAGCCGAATGTTCTGCTGCTGCTGCTGCAGCGCCAGTAGCAGCAGCAGCTGCTGCGCCAGCGCCAGCAGCAGCAGCGCCAGCAGCAGCAGCAGCAGCAGCAGCAGCAGATGAGTTTGTCATTCGTTTTCTATGGCAGCCGTCTCTTCTTGATTTTCTTTCTTTCCTGTGCAGTGCAGAGGGAGACGAAGCAAACAAAAAAAAAGACTGCAGCAATACTTTAAGTAAAGAAACTCCAGGGTTTAGGGTTTAGGGTTTAGGGTTTAGGGTTTAGGGTTTGGTTTAGGGTTTAGGGTTGAGGGATAAGGGCTTTGGCTTGTAGGTCTTATATTTCAGGGTTTATGGTTTAGGGTTTGGGGTTTAGCTTTCAGGGTTTAGAGTATAGGGTTTGTTGAGTAAGGTACAGGTTTACGTTTTAGGGTTTAGGGTTTAGGGTTTAGAGTCTAGGGTTTGTTGAGTAAGTATATATAGGTATAGGGTTCAGGGCTTGTGACATGTCAGGGCTTTGGCTTTTAGGGTTTAGGGTTTAGGGTTTTGGGTGTAGAGTGTTTGATTTAGGGTTTAGGGTTTAGGGTATACAGGGAGCTCGTAATGTTTTTTGTTCGTTAAAATGAAGAAGCAAAGATAAATAAAGATAAAGAAAGAAAAAGTTTATTATATATTTTTAATAATAATGTACACTGCCGATATATATATATATATATATAATTTTTATTGAAGTATAATATACAAGTAGAATGGTTTATATTCTTAATTAAAGAAAACGAAACAAATATTTAATGAAGACAAACAAACAAAAACAAAAAAACAAAAATAGCAAACAACGCTTAAAAATAAACATGCGAATAAATAACGACAAACAAATACTAAAAACGAATCAAATAACTAGGGCTTAGGGTTTAGGGTTTAGGGTTTAGGGTTTATGAAATGAGTGGCGTAATACAAACAACTTTTTCTTATACATATGTAGGCTGTAATAGTTAAATATTTTTGTTTAATTATTATATTAATAACTAAATATATATTAAATATTTTTATTTAATTATTATATCAATAATTAAATATATTTCTTTGATTAGTCTTCATTTCTATTTTTATTTTATTATTACTATACAATTTATTTCTACTATTTTATATATTCTTTTTATGCGGTTGTCTGTATTCTTGTGTAATTGATTAATTAATTAATTAATTAATTAATTAATTAATTAATTAATTAATTAACTAGTCAATTTACTTACTTATTTATTTATTTATTTATTTATTTGTTTATTTATATTTATTTTATTTGTTTTATTTATTTCGCTGTCTGCTGATTTTCTACTCGCGTGTTCTGTCCTACAATTCGCAGCGTGTAGAACATCACCTTAAACCCTAATCCCTAAA